TCTACACAGAGACACCCCGTCTTCAAAACAAAAACAAAAACAAAAAAAGTCCCACATTGCCTTCTTGCTATGACTATGGCCTTGCCTGGCTGCTGCTGCTGAGCTATATCAAGAGCCAAAACTCATGGACTAATCACAGGCTTTGCAGATTCCTCTGGGTCCCTGATGGCTGATGGTCAAGGCCTGGTAAGATCTGGGGCTGCTGGAGTGTGGAGAAGTCATAACAAAGATGCTGGCTGGGGCTTCGGAGGCCTCTGCAGCTCTGCCCTGTGGTGGATACGGCTCATATGATCCTTGCGCCTGGCTGTGCCACCCACAACCTTGTTCAGATGCTGGAGGTCCCAGGGAGCCAGCTGGGCACTTGGCTGCTTCCTGCTCTCAGGGGGTGTGCCCTGCCAGGCTGCCGTCAGGGCTCTCAGGAGCCAGGCTGCAGAGTCGATGGGATCTGGACCTGTCTATGGCTCCCGTGGCCCCAGCTCTCCACCACTCTAGGCTCAGAACAAGGCAGCTAGCTGCCTCGCTCTGTGCAGCACGCCCCACCCCCATCTTCTCCTTTCCTGCATTGTGCATGACCCTTAGGCAGGGTGACAGGCACAGTCAAGCATGACAAGGGCCCCATGCAGGCAAATGGTAGAGCAACTCTGTGACTGACAGCGTTGTCCTCTTGTCCTCAAAGTGCCTTCTGTGGGGCCCCTCCATGCCCCAGGGAAGCCACCAATCACAGCTGATAAGCTCCTGAGGACTGTAGTCTTCAACACCTCCCAGCATGCTAGGGGCTAGGCAGGGGAATGACGCCCCAAATGAGGGGACCGGGAAGATTTGTGGTAACCTTGCTTCTAGAATTTTCTCAGTTTACAGCTTCCTCCAGCTGTTTTTTTTTTTTTTTTTTTTTTTCCCCAACACACATCAGTTAAGTTCTTAACAACAGTCAAGGGCTTGAGGAATGCTAAAAATTTAATGTATGTTAAAAAGGGTATTAAATTCTAAACTAAAATTTGCATGGAAATATGACATTAAAATACTTTTAGCTTTCAGGAAGCTGGGGGCTGTAACGCAGACAGATTTGATCCGTTTAAAAAGAATTAGCTTTCCAGTATTTCTCCCTGATCCCAGCAGTTAATGTGTGAAGATGTGAGCCCTGCCTGGGGCTGAGGTGGCAGGAGAGGGAAAAGCAGGGCTGACTGCTGGGGCTCTTGGAGGTAGAGTGCAGACAGGGCACTGAGAGGCCCTGCTGGTGAGGGGGTAGGCCAGTGTACATCATTTTATTCATTTCACAGACAGTGGGACTGGGTTGCGTTTGTGCAGGCCAGGGGTTCAGAGAGGCCGAGGCATGGTTCTGGGCTCACACAGCATAGGGGGGTAGAAGTTAATTTTCTTTGGATTCCTTGGCTGGCTCCCTGGGGCTGGAGCAGGGCCCCAAGCTTAGCCTTTTCTTTCCCTCGGTTAGGCTGAACCCCACTGCCAAGACAGCCTCTCATTGCCTCCGTCTGACAGCAGCTGAGACAGTAAATTAGGCATCTCGATCCCTGGTTACAGAGTAGTGCCGCCATGCTAGAGGCCATCACCATCTCCTGGTCACCTCGATGAGGCTGGGTGGGCAGCTGCCGTGAGGGTGCAGAAGAGGGCGCAGCTGGTCTGGTTCCAGGAACGCTGGCTGGCAAGGGGTGTTGGGCGGAAATGACCACTCACGGCCACCGCACCTCGGGGAGGTTACTCATTGGCAGTTAAAAATCTATTGTGACTTGTCAGAAAAATGAATAAATGGGCAGCATTAACTTTTCATTCCAGACCTCAGCATGTGTTTATCGAATCAGGAGGTGAGCAGCAGCCACCGAGATGGGAGCTTTCCTTCGTCAGATGAGTTTAACCGCACAAGAAGCAGGCTGTAAGCACTTGAAACAGTCCCATTGCACAGAGAACGCTGCTGCTGGCATGGGTAGCAACACTTCCTGGCTGGGCTTTGCGTCTCACAGAGGAGTTTGGTGGAAACAAATATTCATGCATTAGCCCTCTTAGGCCCCACTCCCTGCCTTCGGGCCCTCATCGGTGGGTGGGGTGCAGGTGGGTGAGCAGAGACAGAAGGGCACATGTGTTGGTTAGTTTTTGTCAACTTGTTGCAAACTACAGTCACACGAGAAAATTCTCTGGGGGAACTCCTTCAGCAGATCAGACAGTAGGCAACCCTGTGGGCAGTTTTTGATTGGCTGTGGGCCCAGCTTGCTGTGGGTGGCGTCACCCCTGGGCAGGTGGTTCTGGGTGCTGTAAGAAAGCAGGCTGAGCAAGCCAATAAGCCGCTTCCTACCAATGGGGTTCATGATGAGCTGTGACACGGAACTGTCACAGCGTTTATCACAGCAGCAGAAAGCAAAGCAGGACAGGACCCTAAGAGGCCTCCCTTTCCCTATCTTGGCCTAGGATGGCCAAGATTCATGAAATAGAAATGTGAGCCTACATACAGCCTGTGCAATTCAGGCAGCAGTGGGCACTGGTAGAGACCCTTAAGGCAGGGTTGGCAAGATGACTCGGTGGGTAAAGGCACTCTCTGTCAAGCTTGATGACCTGGGTTTGCTCATAGGACTCACCTGAAGGAGAACAAACCTCCTGCAAGCTGTTCTGACTTCCACATGTGTATGCCTGCCACCCACACAACAACAACAAAAATACAACATAATAAAAATATTTTCAAGAATTTCCAAGAGCAGTTAATGCCCACAGTATGGTATGGCTCCTATGCATGACATTTAAGGGGTCTGTTTATGAGTATGGTGTTTTGTGTACATGAATGTCTGCGCACTACACGTGTGCCTGGTGCCCATGGAGGCCAGAAGAGGTCACAAGATCCCCTGGAACTGGAATTACAGACAATTGTGAGTTACCCCGTGGGTGCTGGGAACTGAACCTCAGGTCTTGTGGAAGAACAATCAACAAGCTCTTAACTACCGAAACATCTCTCTACCTCCATTTTGTTTTGTTTTTGTTTTGAAACAGGGTCTCACTGTGTAGCCTTGGCTGGCCTGGAATTCTCTTTGTAGACCAGGCTAGTCTTGAACTCCCAGGGATCCACCTGCTTCTCCCTCCTGAGTGACGGAATTAAAGGCATGCGCCGCCACCAGTAACCTGATCCAGTCTTACTAGCAAACATATCTAACTCTCACAAGCACTCTTGGAAGGAACTAGTTTTATCTCCATTTTACAGAAGGGGAAACTGAGGCTCAAGGAAGTAATTCACCCAAAGGTCTGGCAAACAGGAGGCAGCTGGGCCTGGAGCACATTCTGGTCTGGAGGCCACATTACTTTATTGGTTGTGTTCCCCCTCCCTCTATGAGCTACAGCACTGGATCTGGGGAGATGGGGAGTCCCTGAAAGAGGCTGGCAGGGTTATGACCGGTAAAGGCCTCTCCCAGCCCTTGCCTTTAATGAAGAAATGTGGGTCAGCTGCCTGCTCGGAGCTGGGAAGAATACAATGGCAGAGCTTAGCTGCATATTTGCTGGCTGACCGCGCCCCTGAGCTAGGGGCTCCTGGCCCAAGGCGGCCAGCAGGTGACAGGTTGTTAGGGCGACCAAGTTGGCCAATAGGGACAGCATGGGGCTTGTCAGCACTATAGACATAGGAGTTGGCAGAGGCTCAGAGACCAGGACTAGAGGACACTGATTACCCCTGAGATGGGGCTGGCCCAGACTCCCCTCTGAGGGCCAGGGAAACTTTTTCATGGCAAACAGCAACAACTAGCAGGCTGGCTCACAATGGCCCTAAGGAATGAAGGTCACAGCTCACCTACCACCACATCTGCACGGTAACAGCAGGTTAGCTCAAGCCCCAGAGAACATAACCAGCCCAGAGCCACATACTGTGGAGAGCAGGGCCCAAGATTCCAGTGTCCCTTGAGTAAGGGGAAGACCAGATGTGGTTTTTTTACTAACATGGCTGGGCATATCACCTGCTGGCGTGTCACTCTCAGAAGACTCATCGTGGTGTCACCATCTTAGGACTGTGTACTCGAGGCTTTAGGAATGCAAAGCAATATACAAAAGAGGGTATTTATGACTTTTATTTTAGTATTTTAATATTGAATGTGACAAGATTTAATGACCAAATTAGTCATTTACATTTCCAAAGATATCTAAATATAAAATTGCTAAAAATTCAAATACAGAGCAAGCTACAAATAATATTTCTTTTTGGGGGAGATAGGAATGGAAGACATTAGAAAAGGGTGCTCCTGTTGGCTGAACAGATCAGAATGAGAGAGGCATTCATTCAGACGACCCCTTTGCAAAGAAACACACTTGACTCTGAGATGCTCAGACACAATGATTTAAAAAATGTTCTAAACACAGGTCGTATGAGACATCAGCCCTGGCCCAAGACAGTATGAAAGGACACTGCCACAGGAGGGACCATGGTGAGGTCTGCAGAGGCATCTGGTGTAGCCAGAGGTGATGTGGTGTCAGGGTGCTGGGTTCCTTGCCTCTTCTGCCCAGGGCTTGCTCCCCTTCCCTCTGACCCAGCACAGCAGCAGCAGTTTCCAGCCCTCACAGCAGCATGGGTAAGAGGGTCGGAGACAGGCTTCAGAGCCAGGGAGGCAAGCTGACCCTCGTACACTTGCAAAGAGGAAACAAGAGGCCCCTCTGGCTGGGACTCAGTACCACCTGGAGACACTGTCCCACTATCCCACAGCAACTGTCTCTCAGGTCACAGGTGCTGACAGGTTGAGAAGGCCTTAGAAGGGGAAAATGACAGCCTCGGATGGACACGCACGCAGGCACGCATGCGCCACGTGCGGGGTCCTCATTCCTAGCTTTAGTAAGATGCTATTCTCAAAGCAAATGCACTCATTTAAACAAATGGCACAGTTAAAAACTACTGTTTAAGCCCTAACATTGCTTCTGAGAGCTCCAACCACAGCCTTTGTAATCTGCTTGTTCAATACGGAAACAGACTTGAAAGATAATATAATCAATCCTCTGCCCCAAAGAATGGTCCATCATACCAACCATGATAAAGAGAACACCTGTTTATTAAAAGGAAAAAAAGAGAAATGTACACTTTTGTTCTTTGTTTGCTTTAAGAAATTTGATCAAGTTGCAAGGAGATGTCTGGCATGGCTATGTACATCCTTGGAGGGACTGCCTGGCAGTGAAGGTGGCTGGGCAGCACATGGCCCCTCCAGGAGATAGTCTGGCTCCTGGGCATTGCTACTTAAAGCCATTGCCAGGTTTCAGTCCAATGGCAATGTCCTTGGACTGAATGGCACTCCCGATGTCTGAAACTTCTTGTAGAGCCTAGCAGCGCCATGCCTGTGAGTCCAGGCACTGCAGGATGCAGGTGGGCTCTGGGGCCACCTGGCCTGGCGGGCAATCTGGGCTGTCGCAACAGACTGGAGGCCAGTGTCACTGCTGCCCTGATTTCTTCTCCTTCTGGAAGCTGAAGCTTGTACGTCTGTTCAGTTTTCTTTGTTTTTGAGCAAAATAGTCAGCCCGGGCAGTGCTTGCTCGAGATTCCAGGATGTAGTTAACCTAGAAAGCAAGAAGTCATGGCTGTCAGTTGGCAAGGCAGCACTGGCTGTTCACCCAGGGCAGAGCATGGGGTGGAAGGGAGGCCTGCTTTGGGCTAGTGCTCTGGGACTAGCTGCTTCTGACCCTGCATCCTGGCGGGCCAGGATGAAGCCCTTGTTTCACCATGGAAGACAGGAAACCAGTGCCGGCTGCTTAGTCACTGAATAGTGGGGGCTACTGATCTCCAGGCTATGATCTTTGGTGTGGGCCGTCTCCCAGAGTGTTCCCTACCCCCAGCTCTGTCCAGCCAGCTCTGCAGCCCTGGTTATCACATGACATCGCTGGCCTCCACATCTGAAAGATGACGACGTGATGGGTGAAGAGTCGGAGCAAAGCTCCCCTCAGAGTCCTGGCAGCCTGGAATGGAACTTCCTCTAATGTCTGCTACACCCCACCAGCCAGGGCCAGGGCAGAAAAAGGAGGCTGCGAGGACTGCAGAGGGCCGAGGTCACTGAAGTCAGGGTGGGCTTCATTTGGAGTGAGTGTCTTCTCAGGACCACCTGTTCACCTTCAGACAGGGCTTCTCGTGGCTCTCTGTCTTCTGCCTGGCTTTTTTGTGAAAACATAGTTCTTTTACTTTTACGTCTCCCAAAGTCCTGGCTAGAAAGCTGTCTTGGGTTGGAGAAGGCAGACAAGAGGCTCTGGAGCAGGGTAGCTACAGACTGAGGCTCCAAAAATGTCCCTCCAAACTCTCAACAGTGGGAAGTATAGGCAGGCACACGGGTACACAAGGCTCGCCTCACTCGGCCACAGCCTTGCCAAGTAACCAGCTGAGAGCCATAAATCAGGATGCAGGCTGCTGAGGGTGATCTGGGACAGCATGGACAAGGTGTGGGAATGGTGGGAGACATTCTCATGCTGGGTAAATACCATCTCTGGCTTATACTGTTTGCACTCAGCAGACTCAGTGTCTGCAGTGTATTTTTGGCACATTTAATTTGACAAAGGCATTTTAAAATGGTCCTTAACAAGCCAACTATTTCCTATATTTATTATCTTCAATACTTTGTGATAATCACATAGATAATTTTAATGCAAGATTAATGTAATAATCAAAAGATAAAAACGCCCTTTGGTCTGCCATTAGCTGGTTAATATGCTGTGGCTTAAAACGTGCCCGATTTTATGCACTATGGAGGGTTTTACTTTCGATGCACTTTACAGCTTAAGGCATAAAAATATAGGGAGTTTTCATGGTCAATAAAGCCACAGCCTCCATCACTCGATCACAGAAGAACCCGGTGTGAAGAGCCCAACAGTTCCTCAGAGATTCATCTCGGGCCGGCAGAACTGAGCACTGTGGAGCTCCGGTGTATGGGGACAGGCACAGGGCAGCTCTAAGCAGCATGGGCCTCCGTCTCCTCATCTATAAAATGTGGACAATGACATCTACACTCTGCAGGGCAGCTGGGAGGGTTAAATGAGACATGAACATGAGACACCCACAGATGCAGCTGCTACTCGGCCTCTACTGAGGGGTTGCTTCATCACCCTATACAAAGACGGTCTGAGATGCCTAAACTAACATTAGTCTTTGGCTCTTAATTTCTCCACTTAATTTGGTCTAAACCTTCATTTTTATAGCTCCTGACATGTTACTTGAGTCTGAGATGGACCCTAAAGAGCCCTGATTTAACTTTCCTGTCAAATTTTGGGGCTGGGCGGGGGCCTCAGTAGCTGAGCTCTGGTACAAAGCTCATACAGGCCTGGATGTGGCATGAAGGGAATGGTGGGAAAGCTGGTGTTCACCCTCTAAATGAGAGGGGGAATGAAATTCAGCCTTTGGTCAGGACCATCATCATTAGCTGTGAGTCAGTCAGGTCTGGGGATGAAATCCTGTGAGGTGCACAATGATGCGTATTTCTACAAACGTCCTGAGATGCATACAGACATTTCAGGGGGGGGATGCAGGCCTGTGTGTGTGGGTGTGTGGGGGGGGGGGGGGATCAGAAAAGCATCTTCTTTGAGGGAATGTTTGGTCCTGTAAAATGATTTCTCTGCACTTGATCTTCCAGTCTCATACTGAAGTCATAAACCTGTGTTTCTGTCATCAATCTGTTGTTGTGAAAATTATTCTGATGTCAAACACAGGATTATAATTTTACTAGAACCCTTCTCAAGTCTTGAATATTTTAATGCTGGCTATAAAAATAAGCCCAGGCCCTGATGAGGTGGGGGATTGGAATGGTTTTTCACTCACTCTGCAAACCCTGGAACAAGCTCCCAGGACTGTCTGTGATGTTCTGCCTAGTAACTCTTGGCTTTCTGGGAGTCAGCACCCACAGAGTGAGCACTGTCCTCATCCTGGTCCTGGGGGGCTCTGGTCAGTGTGACCTATGAACTTCTTCATATGCCCATGTCACTGTGTCTGATCCTCAGCCGTCCTCCCAGAAATATTTCTTGGGTGGCTATGGGGTGTCTGAACCACAGTATTCCTATACCCAGGGAGCCTTGGGTATTGGAAGCATGCACTTCAGAATCTCAACAGCTACTATTAGGTTCTGGTTCTGCCAACTTATCAGAGTCACCAACCTGGCCACGCTACCTTTCCCCTGGGTATTTTGTTCATGTATAAATGGGAACTTTTAAGGACAGCTCAGCTCCTGTCAGTACCACCCGACTGCTTCTCCCAAGAATGACCCAGAGGGGCCAGTGCATCTCATCTGCTTTACTTCACACCCGAGCAGCCCCTTGCAGGGGGGTGGGCAATGCAGTTACCTTGATTGCCCACTTACAAGTAGGAAAATCGAAGCCCAGAGGTATAAGGTGACACGCAGGGCCATGCAGCCCAGGGTAGGGGAGCATCTTCCTTCTTGCTCCTTAGCTCTATTTCTTCTACTTGTTCTAACTGTAGGGTTTGCCTTAGGAAAGGAACATTGGTTTGGAGGAGTCCTGGTGAGGTTGTGCCACAGAGATTGGTAGCCTGGCTGGCACCTGGTGCTTCAGAGAAGTGACCAAATCCTGGCCCTGCTTGAGCTTCTGAGTCAACAAGACCCATGAGATGCCTCCTTGCCTGGATGCAGCCTCTCAGCAACCCAGCTTGCTGCCTGGCCCCTTCTGGGCTACTGCAAATCTCTCCATTTTTCCCAGAGCAAAACCAGCAGCATCTCTGGGCATGTGAGTGTCTTGGTGCAATTCTGTTTTGTTCTGTCTCCCCTGACGAGGCAGAGCTCTGTAGGGACAGAGCAGCCACTGCTGAGGTAGCTGGAGAGCTAGCTCAGCACAGGGAAGGTGCCGGTGAGTGTGCTGGCTTCAGACCACGCCAGCCCCAGTTGGCAGGCTTCAAACAGAGTGGGATAATCACCTTGACTGATTTAAAACCACTGTCTCCTTAGCTGGCTCCTGAGCCTCAAGGGACTCCTGACAGTTGGGGAAAATAAAATGGTGCATGGGAAAAAAAAAAAAAAAAAAAAAAAAAAAAAAAAAAAAAGCCTAGAAGAACTAGGCCTTTGGGGGCTGGAAGGAAGCTGAAGAATCCTGCTTTGGCTGAGGTAGGTGTTGAGGCACTGTCGCAAGACTGCTGGGGCCCTGGCCTGAGACTAGCCCAGGTATAACCCCACCCTCCCATCCCTGGGTCAGAGGCCACCCTGAACTCACCTTGAGCACGATTTCACTGACTGTGGCTGCGTCGGACTCAAAGTAGAGGTGCTTATAGTCATGACTGCTTAGATACGTAAGCTTAAATACCGCGTGACCTGGAGAGAGGGGAGGGTCCTGGTGAGTCACTGTGGAGGGTGCGGTGCCCCGAGGGTCCTCCCCGATCCAGGCTTGAGCAAGAGCACACGGAGGCTGGATGGCAATGTTCCCTGGGGTGGCTGGGTTTCTCATCACAGGCTGATTCTAAGGCAGACAACGAAGACTCACAGTCCAGGTCCTCTCTGCACATTGCTTGAGGAGCGTACCTCAGGAGGACTTCCTAACAGTGCTGCTTCAACACTGGCATCCTGAGAGCAGAAGGCTGATTCACTCCAAATTAACACGCTACAAGTAAAGTAGCTGTGCTTAAGATTGAAATAAGCTAGCCACAGGACAGAGCAGCAGCAGCCGGCCTTGCCGCAGCGCTGGCTCCTGCTGGGGCCTGGCCTGGTCTGGCGGCCTTGCTCCTAAAGGCCAAGGAATCAGACGGCAGAGAGTGCTGTTCTGCAGACAGCAGCAGCATGTCACTTGCAATGCCACTGACCTGGATTCAAATTCTATCCTACCCCCTTCCTATCCCATCACTCCTTGGACTGCAGCTTGGTCCGGCCTTGCGACTCCCCACGCTCTCCTGCCTGCTTCACCATATCTGTATGGGCTCTTTCACCATGGCCTGCATAGGAAAGCTGCACTGACGCCTCACAGATGCCCTTGCTGACCACTGAGCATGGCTGTTGGACCTGTCTTGTTTTTCCTGCCTGGAGCTGTGTCTATAATCCTATCTGTACTTGATGGCTCACACATGCCACACAGGTCCCCAATTCTAAATGGACAGAGCTGTCAGTATGTGTGACCTTCACAAGGGCAGGCTAAGAAGTGGCTTTTTGGGGTTCTTACCCTTAGCCCTAGAAGAAAATCCCTAGTTGTTCTACATATGGCTGGCCTGGGACCTGTGGGACCCAGGGCCCTACCAAGGTCTTCCTTTTCCTCAACTGTCTTGAAGCTGGTTTCCAATAATGGCAACCAAAGGTGCCCTTCGGATAAGGTCCTGTTCAGGCATACCTGCCTCGACCAAGAGCACTGGGCACATGACACCAGAGGCCTGAAGCCCCTCGTCCCCAGCCCAAAGGCCCTTCCTCTCAGCTTTAACAGGCCACAAGCACCTATTAGGCCTCCTCGTTCGTTCCTTGTCCTTTTAATTGAAGCAGTGGCTGGCCACGTTATTAATTAATAACATGTCACCCATATTACTGTAAGTGCCCCTCCTTCCCGGAGAAATCTTCTGGGAACTTTATTTACAGTAGCTAATTTTTCAGATCTCCAAAAATAAACTGATATATGTGTACATTTGTGGCCAGAAAAGTTGAGCTGCTGGTATTTTATCCTGGAAACATCATTACAAGATACTAATTGGGACTATAAATCCTATATTGAAAAAAATAGCTAATAATTTCTAAAAAAAAAAAAAAAAAAAAAAAAAACCCTCACTTTTAGTCACTTGACAAATTAAGCTTGATTTGAAATTGTGGCTCTAAAATGTTAGAATTCTTGACTGGAAACTAATCATTCCATTAATGTATAAATTGTTTCTGATAGGGAAGTGAATTCTCAATACTCTCCCTCACTCAATGCTGGAGTCTTAGTGATGTCATCTTGTGGAATAACAATGAGAGACATTTGTTGGCCGTGCTGTGACCAAGCAGAGTTATCTATGAAGGACACAGGGCTGTGAAGGACAAACAGACCCCCCCCCCCCCCACCAGGAGGCCTTACTGTGGACACCTGGCCATGACACAGACATCATGGCCTGGGGCTAGAAAGGACCAGAAGGTCTTCGGGAGGCCTGCAGACCTGAAGCTTCGGGGTTCACTGACCACTCGGATAAGTGATCTCAGGCACCATCTACACCACCTGCCTCCACCTGTCACTGACAAACCCTCATGATGTACCTGCTGTGGTTTTCTTGAGAAGCTGAGACACCATTAAACATGCCCTGTAGACCTGGCAGAGTCAACTCTACACAGCACATGCGATGTGCAGTATGCCAAGGCCTGAGAGTCTGGGAGAGAAGCCTTGATACTTGGGATTGCAGCACCATGGGACTTTTCGACCATGGGCTCACTAAGGGGAAGCTTGGGACTCATCCACATAGGAGCTGGTGTAAAACAAGTCACTGCTGGCCAAAGAACCACCAAGCCCTGCATTCCCACACTGCCTTTTGCTGTTCTTGGAGCATGTGTGTCCCTTGCTTTCCTCAGTTCTTGCTCCAGGGCACAACTGCGGGAAATGGGAGTGATGCACGGTCTACTCTCCTGGGCTTGCCTGCTTGCCTGCTTGCCTGCTTGCCTGCTTGCCCCTGGCAGTGAGGAGTCGTACCACTGAGGAAAGCCTCTAGAGATGATCCTGACCATAGTGCTGTGTATGCTCGAGCAACCTCAGACTTGAGCTTGCATCTGCGACTGGTCTAAGGCTGGTGAATAGCCACAGCAGGCTGCCTGGGGTACAAGCACAGGTCAAGGACAGTAGCCGTATTTCTAAGCATGCTGGACTACAGGGCAAGGGGATAATTTACCCCCAATCGGTTTTGCCTGGAGGTCCCTCACTCCAGCCTCTGGCCTTTGCTGGTCCAGATTCTACCAGAGGACAGGTTAGGGGAAGGGACAGGAAAATGAGTGAGGATCAAGTGTGACATGTTAGGAGGGTCCTAGCTACAGGGTGCTGCCATGGAGACATGGAGATGAGGTGAGTTGTCTGGTATGGGGAATAGCCCTTATGGGCAGTTTTATGGAGGACAAAGGATGGTGGGTAAAGAAGGTACACGGTGTTGGCAAACTGGCTCTGAGGGAAGCCAGAGCAGACCAAGATCATGGTTACCAGCTGATGAGGCAACTAGTAGGTCTGAAACAGAGCAGTGATATACATACTGTACTTTAGGGTGCTTCCCTAGGGTCCCCACAGTCCAGGGAGAGAGGAGCCAGCTGCCGTAGTGGCTGGGTGGCTATACACTTGGCACTGAGCTGGAGAGGGGCAGAAAGGATGTTGACTTAAGAGAAGGTATGGTGGGTAGGCCTGCATATCAGTGAACAAACAGAATTCACAGTGGATAATGCCATCTAGTTCCAAACCCGTATATCCTAAGTGTGGCACATTAACTGACATGAATCTGTCAATAAAACATAAGGGGTTCATATGATATGATGAACTTCACTGGAGGTGCGCATAAAAAGTCACTGGCTTCAGGGCCTGGGCTGAGAAGGCTGTTCTAGCATCTCCTGTTACCACAGCACCTTAAGGCTCACCTTGAGCAAGGGAAAAATTGGCACCAAATGACAGTGGGAGCCCATAAGGCATGTGTCTTGGGGAACAGGTGGGCAGGTCACCCTTGAAAACTCAAGGAAAATCACCAGTTTTCATAGGGGTAAGCCACAGGCGCACTCTATATGTAAAAAATGTCAGCCGAGGAAGAATCATGCATGGGAATCCAGCACTTAGCTCACGGTGTTAAGTTCCATTTGGGAATTAAGTGCTCTGGAGCTGGATGTGGGCTACAGTCTTACAGGATGCTGGCAAGGCACTGTCTCCAGCAGCCCAGGAACCCGTGGTCTCAGACACAACTGTGTCTCACCCAGAGACAAAATTCTCACTTGCAATCACCTACATGGAGAAGGGGCTCAGTGCAGGTGACTCTTACAACTCCATGGAATTGTTATCTGGGTAACATGCTCACTATTTGAAGGTATTGTTTTCAGTTAGGCTTTCTCTAAGCCAACTTGCTTTTACACAGCCACAGGAGGAAAATGCAGAATAATGGGGTAAATGTGGCATCTAGGCATTGGTCACATGCTCAGGGAGCCACTGAGACCATGCATCTGCTTCTGACTATTGAAACGAAAATCTGCAAATGTAAATGTGTCTCTACGTTCACATATTTTTGAAAGTAAACCAGAGAAGATGGAATATAGCCGTAAGAGGACTAGTTACAACCCAAATGTCAGAAGCAGAGACACTGAGGCTTTCTGCTGTAATCTGTGTTCTGCATTCTATTTTCACTAAAACGAGGCTGCTGCGGCTGCAGGATAGGACAGCCACTTAGACCCTGCTACGGAGGGATGTGCTCCTGGAGCGGCAGTGTGTCTCTGCTGACACATCTGTCAGCACCACCAGCCCACAGTCGTCTCTGCCTAAAGTTTCTGGTGCCATACTTGCCAAAAAACACCAAAATAAGCGAAAATAGTTTTCATTTCTTTTCAATTACTAGAACTATAAAAACATTAGAATTGCTCAAACTTTAGAAGACAAATGAAAACCCTCCACACTTTACCACATAACCCTAGCCACAGCACAATGACACCCAAGGGGACTTTTCTAGCTGTCTTCATGTTTTTACATCCTTTACTGAAATTTTAAGTTTTTTTTTTTTTTCTCCCTTTTTCTGAGACAGGGTTTCTCTGTGTAGCCCTGGCTGTCTTGAAGCTCACTCTGTAGGCCAGGATGACCTTCATTTCAGAGAGTTGCCTGTCTTTGCTTCTCAAGTGCTGGAATTACAGGCATGTGCAACCACCGCCCAGCTAAATGAATTTTTTTTAACTTAACATTTTGTTGCAGCTCTGTAACAGTCTGCTGTAATAGTCTCTGTGACCACTCTTTCGATGGCTGCACATCACCCCAACTGATGATAGGAACTATGCTTTACTCTGTGGCTCTGTTGGCACCCTGACTACTTAGGAAATAGCAGTAGTACAAAGGAAGTTCTTGGATTCTCTCTTTATGGCAGAACAGACAGAAACAACTTCTGGGGTCAAGCTGTCTCTAATTCCTCTCAACAAAAGGGCCTAGAAAACCTCACTGGACTTAACTGGGAGAAATGGACAGTAAGCACATTTTATTTTGGGCACAGCACTGCCTCTATTTATTTTCGAGACAGGGTTTCATGAAGCTTAGGCTAGCTTCAAACTTGCTTATGTAGCTGAGGCTATCCCTGAACTCCTGATCCTCCTGCCTCAATATACTGAATGCTGAGATTAAAATGTGCACCCAAATGCATGGTTTCTGGCTCTAT